GTCAATATCTCCCTTGTTAATCGAGGTTGGAGATACTGACTAGGCGTGACGATCTGAGAAGGTGGTGGATTTTTGTGGCCGTTGCAGTCGAGTGCAGTTTGGCTTCTACATATGGTGACTGGCGGATTGAGTCATTCTGGTTGTCCCGATTGAATGCAGGAAATTTCCCAAATATTCCCTGGCACGGTGTCGGTAAACAACCAGTGTAAAGAAGGCTACTACTGATGAGCACGTCAGTAGTGTGTGATTTTCTCGTAACTCTGCCTTCCGTTCACTGGAAAGTACACTCCATGGGGTTTATTACGAAACCTTTAAAGTTGCTTTGTGGCGTTCGTTTTCAATTGCTTGATGGTCAAGGAAAATCCCCGAAAGTTCAAGAAGACGCATGGGGATGTTCTGCAGAAGACCATGATACTTTTCAACGGAATCCTCAGGAGGTATACCCTGAAGGGAACCTTCTATGCTAGGCCACATGAGGCATTTGTGTTCTATTTAGCCTTTGTGGTTTGTCTGTCTGAACTTCTTGTATTCTTACGCTGCTGCGAACACCAGGCCACATGGTACGGTCATGTCGGCCTATGTCATTCGGAATGTAGACGAAAGATTTATTCATTCTTTTCGTGAGGGAGGTTGGCGCAGGAATTTCAGTAGCCATAATTACGTTTGCTGGTGTGTGTCAACTGCGGCACGGAGAAGACGCGTGTACCGGACTACAGTACGGGTTATATTGTCATACGAACTCAAGACTTGGCCCTTGTGGGCGGAAGACCAGAGGCATCTTCAGGTCTTCGGCCACGGATGTTTCAGGACTGTAACTGAAATTGGCTGGAATCCACGAATTCGTGATGAAGTCTTGAGAACATGGGTCCTTGATGGAGCACAAAGAACTTCACCCCAGAACTGCATTCAACAGTGCAAGCCAAGTTGATTTCGCCGTGTGCTACGTATACCGAGTCACCGTTTTTGCAAGAATAGTAATTTTACCCGTACCTAGTTCGAGGTATTGGAAACCCAGGTATGGGCAAACTCTGACAGGGTGGAAGGGGACGAGGGATTTTACGAGAAGCCCGGATGATGTTGGTTCTGCTTACCTTCCAGGAAGGAGCCTTCGTGTCTCATGCAGTGCTTGGTTGAAGATACTGAGAGGAATGGCGGCTAACGGATGTCTTAAATGGTAACAAAACTGGTCATCAAACCATAGAAATCTGTCCTTGTTCGTCGACTTTCACTCAGTGGATTATCGTTCAGATATGCGCTGATGCACAAGACCGTGTGTCTCCGAAAAGTTCAAATTATCGGGTAAGAAACGGGGCGGGGCGTTGTTTCTATTCATTCCAAAAGTACCTTTGTCTGAATGGTGACCAAGAATGGGTACTGTCATTATTATTGCCTCGAACGAGCGTCAGGGGACTCAAATGTTTGAGTGAAAGTGCAAATCGTTACTCATACTCATTATGAATGGGGATGGTGGAGAATGTTAGGCAGCGCATGGGTGAGTGAAGGACATATGGGTGTTTTTAACGCTCTACTAACCTAGTTGCTGTGATAGACACAGTTTGACACAGACGAACAGAAGTATAGTGAGTCTTTCAACCATTTGTTCTATGCCGCCGGTCAACTTCTCATTCATTTAGATGGCCCACTGTGATGCATTAATCACACTCCTTTCTGGTTGGTGTAATCTGAAAAATCGAATAGTGCAAAGATTAGGAAATAACTCGACTGTTTTCAACCAAGTATCGTTCATACATTTAATTTAACCTGATTATACTATCTATTTTGCGTCGCCATTAAGCCATCGGCCTGTAGCTACTAACCTCATGTCTCTACACCTATGTACGCTGGTTAGCGGACAATATAGTTATCAATGACTTAACTGATTGCAACCCTTCTTAATGGCTAAGTCATCTATAACAAGGGATCAGACCAAAGGTGGTCGGTGTCATATAAAAACTCACGAGTTATCCGGGCGGAGATGGAGTTCGAGATCGTGTTCATCAATTTCATCAAGTTTACAGTGGTGTTCCTTCATGAGAATGCAATGTGTCATTAAACTCCTCATTTTTTGAACATTTTATCCTTGAACATTTTATGCAAGGCTTATAAGTAATTTAAAGGTGTCTAGGTGAATTGAACGCGAGGAGTCTATGTGATAGGGTGTGAGTGTTTGTCAGGTCTGTAGAATCCACATCCACATCATTTTGGTTTGAACAGTCCCTTTTCTGTCCTGGTGCAGTTATTCTTGACGTCGCTGGACGAAGAATTGGAGTCGAGTTCCACTCATATTAGTTCTCTCATTGATTGACCGTGCCAGGATTTGAACTCCGAATATCTGACATGCAAACGAACGTGTTTCCTCAACTCCGTTAAAACACGCTGGACGCATCTGAGTGATCACGTCTTAACGGTCAAACGTGCTCACGCTGGAGCAATGGGATTAGTTTACCCGACTCCCCGAACGATCACTTAGTAACTGCTCGGATTGTTTCAACAGACCTACTGGTAAATTGTTTGATCGACTGATTGTTCGAATGATTGATTGGTTGGCTGGTTGGTTCGCTGTTTGACTGGTTATTTGGTTGCTCGATTAGATTGTTGAGTCGTTGGTTGGTTGGTTGATTGGTTGATTGAATGAATGAATGAATGAATGAACGATTGAATGAATGAATGAATGAACGAACGAACGAACGCCACTCGACTTCCCCTGTCTAGACATGGGCGACCTGGCAGTATCCTCCCAGCCTTCGTGCTTCCTTCTGGTGGCATGGCAGCTAGGCACCGAAAGGGTGCTACAGCTGAATGAATGAATGAATGAATGAATGAATGGCACACTGACTGACCGTTCCATCAGGCATCGCCTTTGTTCTCGATATTTCCATCAGCGGCAATGTGAATTGCTGGGTTTTGAAGACTCTCCGATATCCATCCAATTATCCTCGACGAGCCGGCTGAACCGTATCGGAGATAGTGCCCATCCTTGGCGTTCAACATCCTTGGTAGGAGAGTTTCCCAAGGGCTCCAGACGCACTGTCGGAAGGATGTGCGCACAGAGAACAGATTTTAATCACAAATTTGCGACACATTCTTTATTCTGCAGGCTTGATTAGATGTCCCTCTCGACGGGCACTTGAAAGGATGGCGAATTTAACCTATAGTATATGACCCCTGGCCGTTGATCTTCTCAGGGAGATTTTGCTGAAAACCTTTTGTTTCCACTCAAGGTAGATCCATCACTGCCTGTAATGATGATGTGCTATGATGCTACTTACGTTCGCGGAGATTTCCTGGACAGTTGAAATGTTCGCGACGAGTAGGATCATCTTCCACAGCTAGTCATCGTTTCAACAACCCACCGAAGGTGTTGAGAAATTCCATTTCTGAGGTTTGGAATTACTTTGGATGCAAACTTCGAATGATTTTGTCGATTCCTGCAATTCCGAAACTTTGCGCATATTATTGTTCACAAGTTAGGTGTTTGCGACTGTTAGTGTGGCCTACTGAATGAGAATGTGGTCAGTTCTGAATCCCAACTTTGGTCTGCATTTCCGCGCCCACTTTATGGGCGCCAGTCAGATCGAAACGTTTGATGGATTGCGCTAAGGCGAGTCACATTCTTCGTGGATGTATTACCAAGTGGTTAGAGCGCGAATTTACTGACCGAAAGGTTCGTGGTTCGAACCCGACCTCTGCCACTCGACTTCCCCTGTCTAGACATGGGCGACCTGGCAGTATCCTCCCAGCCTTCGTGCTTCCTTCTGGTGGCATGGCAGCTAGGCACCGAAAGGGTGCTACAGCTGAATGAATGAATGAATGAATGAATGAATGGCACACTGACTGACCGTTCCATCAGGCATCGCCTTTGTTCTCGATATTTCCATCAGCGGCAATGTGAATTGCTGGGTTTTGAAGACTCTCCGATATCCATCCAATTGTCCTCGACGAGCCGGCTGAACCGTATCGGAGATAGTGCCCATCCTTGGCGTTCAACATCCTTGGTAGGAGAGTTTCCCAAGGGCTCCAGACGCACTGTCGGAAGGATGTGCGCACAGAGAACAGATTTTAATCACAAATTTGCGACACATTCTTTATTCTGCAGGCTTGATTAGATGTCCCTCTCGACGGGCACTTGAAAGGATGGCGAATTTAACCTATAGTATATGACCCCTGGCCGTTGATCTTCTCAGGGAGATTTTGCTGAAAACCTTTTGTTTCCACTCAAGGTAGATCCATCACTGCCTGTAATGATGATGTGCTATGATGCTACTTACGTTCGCGGAGATTTCCTGGACAGTTGAAATGTTCGCGACGAGTAGGATCATCTTCCACAGCTAGTCATCGTTTCAACAACCCACCGAAGGTGTTGAGAAATTCCATTTCTGAGGTTTGGAATTACTTTGGATGCAAACTTCGAATGATTTTGTCGATTCCTGCAATTCCGAAACTTTGCGCATATTATTGTTCACAAGTTAGGTGTTTGCGACTGTTAGTGTGGCCTAGTGAATGAGAATGTGGTCAGTTCTGAATCCCAACTTGGGTCTGCATTTCCGCGCCCACTTTATGGGCGCCAGTCAGATTGAAACGTTTGATGGATTGCGCTAAGGCGGGTCACATTCTTCGTGGGTGTATTATTCGTCCGACCGTCTGAAACGGGCATAGTTTAAAGGCACAATCTAGTACACGGTCGGCGTCGCTAGCACATGCACTTTTTCTACAAATAGTTTTCCAACGAGGGTAATAATATGAGAACTTTTTTCTAATCCATACACTGAGGAAAACAGGTGGTAGGGCTGGTCGCCTCACTAAGAATATACAATTTCGTCCATCCTTATGACGGCAAATTCTACATGGGTATATGACGAAATGGTGTACTGGACTGACGGCATTCCCTTGTTACCAAACTTAGTCAATGTATGTGTCTGAGTAGCACTAGTTTACTCTCACCTTATGTGGCCTCCACATTAATGCTGCTCTGACCGAGAAATTCGCTTGTGGACTTCCAGAAGCCCAACTCAAACGGGAGAGCAGTTCCCGTCCTGAATCTCCGAATCCAGCAAGAAATCGTTTCGTTCAAAATAATTCGTGCTCTCAGGTCGACCATTTGACGTCTGATGTGTTACAGAAACCAACCCATGAGCCCCATGAACAAAAAAGTGGGTTTCGTTTTAGTTACTTTGTTTTTTATCAGTAGCGAAGCTCAGGCTGAATATCTTCGGCACAGTGTTCGTGTGCATCAGTTACACCTACGACATGCACAGCTTCGGACGACCGTCTACCTATACGAGAGGAGCTAATTGGGATTTTTCAGGGCTGAAAGTGAGCCCTGTACACTGGGATATATTTCATATGGTGATATTTAATCAACTATGATTTTCACTCAAGACAACCCTTTCCAGATTTGTTTATCGAAGTGTCAGGACTATGAACTGTCCACCGTTTCCCATCCTCACGTTGGATGGGAACAGGTCGTTCATCTGGCCCACTAAAACATCAGTTTAAGCTGAGCAGACATTCCTAGAACTACGTGTCCAAATAAATGTGCAATAGTTTCATCTGCATCAGTCTTGTCTGCCTGTGCTGTAGGCACTCATTATGTAATCAATGGTTGCCAAACTGGTGTATAGTTGTCATAGTTCATTACTATTAAATGAAAGAATTGAAGAAACCATGTCAGCTCCTCTGTGCACCCTTCTGTCCTTCATTTTCGAGACGATAAGTCACGTTCAGTTGATAACAATTTCGAAGAATATCAAGAATTTACGGGGAAACCTGATTTATTATTATTGGTATGCTACGTCGACCTGATCTACACCAACTATCTAGGCGTAATAATGCTCGCTGTCTGTCAAAACATGAAGTTTAGCCATTCACCGGTTTTGGGTTCCTGCTAAATTTGTTCCGCAATAAACGCAAGCACGATAAGAACTATTTCATAGACTTAGTAGAAAAATCAAGTAATGCCACCGTTCATCCGGAATTTCTGTCATTCGATAACAATTCCTCGTGAAATCTATGGTCATGTTCGAGTCCTTATTCCGGGTTCGGTCTCTGTTAAATGTGCGCGTGAGGGCACCAACTGAACACATTCCAAATGCCACACCTACTTGCCAGTCTCCTGTTGATATTCATTGTATCAATGAAACGACTTTCGGATGACCTAAGTTCTCAGGGTCTCGTAGAAGAATGGACGCAAACTGTGCAGTTATCTGACGAGTGATAAGGATGGTTGTTGAAACTGCACTCAGTCGCATAACAGGATCATCCGCCCTACTTCCTCTCTATCGCCTTCACTAACTTGGGCTCTCACACAATTCCACACTGTTAAACAGAGGCGGGTGATAACAGCTCCGAATTCCGACAAAATAACGAAGACCTGCAAATATGAGTTGAGTTGTTGGTGTTTTACTGACGAAACAATAAATGCTAGTTAGCGAACTTACCGATATCGTCGTTCATTGATACGAATGGACCAGAAAGTCTTTATTCCTCTGCTTTTGCTCGTTAGGAGGAACCTGGTGATAAAACATTATAGGGCATCAGAAGTGTAATTTTCTTGGGGTATTTCTTCCCTGAAGAATCCATATAGGACAGAGCATTTTGTCACGACAAGTTTAGTGCGAGAATTCGCGCAACAGATTGTCGCATGAACTTCGCGTTGAGATAGAAATTTATAAATATAGGTCGTTTTCTGACCCTATTTGCATATTAACATGAATGGGTCTTTAATATGTCTTGCCGATCGAACGCTGATTCATCATTCAATCATTCATAACTTTTGTAACCAGGACGATCAGACCAATTAGCATAACTGACTTAGGTCTGAGCAGCATTGCATGGGCTTTTAGGAATCCTCAAGATAGTGAATCTCTATGGGAAAATGTTTGACTACATGGCCTAAATGAAGAAAATTGAAAATTACACAGGGTTACCAAAACGTGGTTTCTTTCGAAAAAGTGGTTTTCAATGCTTCTTCCGAAACCAGTTGTAAAGGATCATTTTTACGTACCAAAAATTGGTTGGTTGAAAATTATAATCGCGAACCCCTGAAATGCACTGAACATACTATTTGTTGTTGGTACTCCCGAAGCTGAGCTTTCACTCATGCTAGCTGTGAAATAAGTTGGATAAATAACCTGTACCATTTGATATGCCTTTTGATGCACTTCGGGATATCCGTTGGTTTACTCAGTCAATTCACACTCCTAAGTTAGACGGCATGGTAAATGACGTGAAAGTGATACGGAATCAGTCAATCTAGACTGGTAACCAAAACACGTATAATATGAAGGAGAACACAAACTTATCCCCATGGTCATTTCCCGCTTCTCCGTGTAACTTATCAGGATCATGCACTGCTTTTCTTTCAGATAACCCCACAGAATACTCTCAGCAGTACATATTCCTGTACTTCTGCCGGGATTGGTTGCCATGCTGCAAAAGGCGAAAGAAAACAACTGTTTTGAAGTAAGCATTTCAAAACTGCCCGATGTTATTTGCGCTCTTTCTCCTTCTATGCGCCATGTCTGAAGGGCTAAACTGGTCGTAACCGAGTTGCCCATCAATCGCATGAGACAAGCAATTTCACGAAATGGATACTTATTTAAATGAGAATAATCGCTTCCTGGTTGGGGTTGTGAGGGCTGCAGGAGGTACTAAAATGTCTCATGAAGTGGCTGATTCCTCGCGGAAGCAGAGACCAAGTTCAGTCAATCAAGTGCACCATCGTAATGGAACGGTAGGTTATCCGGACCTTCTGAACAGCTTTCGTGGGTATGTGATGGAATAATTTAGTTTATCTGGAGTATGTCTTTGTATGCCTTTGTTCAAAACGTAGTACTGAGCATACTGAACCTGAGTGGGCTTCACCAGGCCTTGTGGTCTTGATCATCATGAAGCAGGACCTTCTTATATCACCCATAAAAAGCTAGATAAAACTGATAAGCGAGGTAATTTATCAAGAGATTCATTGCATTACAGTTACGATTCATTGCTTGATGAACATCCCTGGAAGTCGGTAAGCATTTATTTGTCACGCTTTTTCCTTTTGTTAGGACTCAGCTTCGTTGCTCTGCAGCCGTATTTCAACTGTGATATGCTCCCACAAACGATGCCCCGTAAAATCCCTGGGCTGAGCAATGGCTGAGTCTGTCGCGAAATGATGATTCCTTCAGTTCTGAGTGACAGTTCACATTAACATGACAGATGACTAGTCAATCTGGGTCGATTTTATGTGGCAGGTCCGCCGTGCTATTTTTTCTAGGTGAGTAATTCAGCAACGTTGGTGATCAGAACTCATCATCTCTTGGGTTCTGGGGTTTTGATTTACTCAAAACAGATTGCGATTACAAGATACTCCGTACTGTCAAAATTGGACTATCTTCTTTGTACGGGCAGAGGTGTTGTATAATATTCTAGACCAGAGTAAACTTCTTTAGTAGGTTGCTTGCAGTCCGTTTACGAATTTCACCCCGATTTTTTTGGAGTCCGTAGCCATATCGCGTAAGAGTGATGACCATCTGACCTTTTCCAAGTTCATTTGCATTTACTTTTATTGAAAACATGAGGGTTCAGAATCTAAGTATTTGACTGTGCATCCCTCTCATTTTCTTCACATTTTTGGTTGAGAAACTAGTCAATGCTGAAAATTCGAGAAGCACTCTAGCTGTTTCATCTTCATTGGGAATCATCAGCATTGCGCATAATACGAAACGGGAGGGAGATTCGAACTCCAAATCTCCTGGCCACTAGTTGAACACGTAGGAGACTGCGTGCCCTTGGACGGAATGCAGAGACATTCATCCTTCAATCGTGCCCATCCTTCGAGTGATCATCTGTTCACTGGCTCCTCAGGCGAAGAATTCTCTTATGGAATATTCAGTCGTCATATGAATTATTCTTCCTTCTGAACTACCTTCTTTGGTTGACCTGCTTGAACCTGATGTTAGCCATTGCCTTTCAATATTGAAAACTCAAGGTCCGTTCACTTAATTATTTGAATTTATGGGTCATCGCAGCTTCAGTTTAGGGCTGTCGCTGTCAATCTGTTTATTCGCTTGGGATCAGGCAGAGCAATTTTTTTCCGCAATTTGGTAATTGATCAGATTGATGTTGATCTGTTCGCCGACCTTCGCAATTGACCTGCATACGTTTCGTCACTATTCGAAGGGACCCAACAGCGCAGTGATGATGTATCCTCGAATGGGGACGAAGCGTTTGCAAGTCAATTGCTGAGCTCAGCGAACAGGTCAACAGCCACCTGTTCAGTTACCGATTTACCAATATTCAAAAACATTACCAGCTGCAAGCTTTTTCGCCATTTTCCAAGGTCATAGTTGAGTCGATTCACTTCGCCAAAAAACTGAACAACGTGAGTTAAAGTAAGACTTGAGTTTTCATCATAACTGTCTGTTTCGGGTACTTCTGTTCTCGTTCAAAGGTAAGCCGGTAAATTAGTGGATAACTACGAAGGAAAAGGTGATCGTGAAACTAGTCGGCCGCATGAGCCTTGTCTGTGGTTGGTTGTGGATGGAATTTAAATTATCGTAGTTTCAACTGATAACTCTGACCGCTCCAGCCTTAGACTGTTCCCAGTGTGTAATCGCTTCACGGATCCGTAATACATCATCGATCTCTGTAACAATCTCAGACAAGTTTGACTCTGCCACGTTTGATTCCGCGTGATTCTCTCCAGGAAAACATCTCACGAACGGTACTCGCAACATTCGCAGGGAAGTTGAGTTAGAGTATCCTCCTATAGGCAGTAGCATACACCTCATGCATGGCAATTTAGTTCGGCACAAAGTGCACTATTCCTCTTCACTCTCCTTAGACAGCCTGATTCGTTTTCTTTTGCCCTCCACTTTCATTTGGAGAGAAAGCAATTTCGATTCAACGGACATGACTTCCTCACCCTATATCTATACCAAAGAAGACGGACGAAATCTAACGAGATTCCAGTTAAGCAGTTGTCTGATATTCCCTGGGTCGCCAAAGAATGGGCCGTTCGACAGAGACCTCCACTGCCCCTGAACCTCCAGTGGACTGAAGAGTAAGCGGCAACAAAACTGCAAGCATATTGGCGAGGATTCTCAGTGAGTGCTGTTATTTTTGCATTCAGCAATTTAGAGCTCCAACAGTTCGTTCTAATCACTACCTGCTTTTATGACACTACGTCAAGTGTTAGGGTAAAGGCAAGGATATAGGCGCCCTAAAATCTTACGGTTCCCTGACTTCAGGAGTATGTTTGATTCTATCGATCATTTAAGTCTTATAACACATTTTCGCAACAGGGCATGACCCAGAATTCTGTGAATCTCGTGCGCTGTTCGTATTGAGATACTTGTGGGCGNTCTAAGTATTTGACTGTGCATCCCTCTCATTTTCTTCACATTTTTGGTTGAGAAACTAGTCAATGCTGAAAATTCGAGAAGCACTCTAGCTGTTTCATCTTCATTGGGAATCATCAGCATTGCGCATAATACGAAACTCCAGGGAGATTCGAACTCCAAATCTCCTGGCCACTAGTTGAACACGTAGGAGACTGCGTGCCCTTGGACGGAATGCAGAGACATTCATCCTTCAATCGTGCCCATCCTTCGAGTGATCATCTGTTCACTGGCTCCTCAGGCGAAGAATTCTCTTATGGAATATTCAGTCGTCATATGAATTATTCTTCCTTCTGAACTACCTTCTTTGGTTGACCTGCTTGAACCTGATGTTAGCCATTGCCTTTCAATATTGAAAACTCAAGGTCCGTTCACTTAATTATTTGAATTTATGGGTCATCGCAGCTTCAGTTTAGGGCTGTCGCTGTCAATCTGTTTATTCGCTTGGGATCAGGCAGAGCAATTTTTTTCCGCAATTTGGTAATTGATCAGATTGATGTTGATCTGTTCGCCGACCTTCGCAATTGACCTGCATACGTTTCGTCACTTTTCGAAGGGACCCAACAGCGCAGTGATGATGTATCCTCGAATGGGGACGAAGCGTTTGCAAGTCAATTGCTGAGCTCAGCGACAGGTCAACTCTGACTGTTCCAGCCTTAGACCGTTGTGTGTGTGTAATCGCTTCACGGATCCGTAATACATCATCGATCTCTGTAACAATCTCAGACAAGTTTGACTCTGCCACGTTTGATTCCGCGTGATTCTCTCCAGGAAAACATCTCACGAACGGTACTCGCAACATTCGCAGGGAAGTTGAGTTAGAGTATCCTCCTATAGGCAGTAGCATACACCTCATGCATGGCAATTTAGTTCGGCACAAAGTGCACTATTCCTCTTCACTCTCCTTAGACAGCCTGATTCGTTTTCTTTTGCCCTCCACTTTCATTTGGAGAGAAAGCAATTTCGATTCAACGGACATGACTTCCTCACCCTATATCTATACCAAAGAAGACGGACGAAATCTAACGAGATTCCAGTTAAGCAGTTGTCTGATATTCCCTGGGTCGCCAAAGAATGGGCCGTTCGACAGAGACCTCCACTGCCCCTGAACCTCCAGTGGACTGAAGAGTAAGCGGCAACAAAACTGCAAGCATATTGGCGAGGATTCTCAGTGAGTGATGTTATTTCTGCATTCAGCAATTTAGAGCTCCAACAGTTCGTTCTAATCACTACCTGCTTTTATGACACTACGTCAAGTGTTAGGGTAAAGGCAAGGATATAGGCGCCCTAAAATCTTACGGTTCCCTGACTTCAGGAGTATGTTTGATTCTATCGATCATTTAAGTCTTATAACACATTTTCGCAACAGGGCATGACCCAGAATTCTGTGAATCTCGTGCGCTGTTCGTATTGAGATACTTGTGGGCGAGTGTGTGGGGGGTAGAGCTTTCTATAGGCTTTTCCACAACCAGTGGTGTCCAACAAGAATATCCACTCTTCCCGCTTTTGTTCACTTTATTATCGATTAGCTAGCGAGGCGAACATTGTAAGGTCTCCAAAACCCCGGTCTTCAGAGCTGTCCGAGCGAGAACCTTGTCGACCTGGAATATGCAGATGACATTGATCCCATCTTAAAAAGGGAGCAGAAAACGCAAGCAATACCACGATAGCTGAAAAGGTCATCCAGTCCTTCGGTATGTGTTTCGAGCTCACAAAGTGCCATGTGATATTGCAGAACTTACGGTCTTTGAACATGCCTCTGGGAATTCAAGGATTGGCAATCGAATTTGTGGAACATTGTACGTATCTTGAAAGTAGCATTAGCTCTAGGGGTAGTCTAACAGTGAATGAACGTGAGAATCTCAAAGTCCACAACTGGGTTTACTAATTTCTACCACTTGTGGTTTCAAAAAGGTATCTCCCTGGATCACAAAGGGTACGTGTATCAGACCACAGTGTGGGTTGTATGTTGTATGACTGCGAGGCTTGGTCACTTCAGGCTGAGGATCTGTGGCATCTCCAGGTCTTTGACCACAGATGTCTCAGAAAAATGGCTGGAATAGGCTTGGACCGGCAAATTATCAATGAGGTGTCCAAGAGATCAGGTTTCGGTGAGGCAGAGGGTGCTTCTCTCAAGGAATGTATCCGGCAATATAAGCGTTAGATGGGCCATTTGTTATGCACGCCAAGCTAGCACCTAGAGCTCCACTGCTCCTGAGTCTCTAATAGACTGAAGAGGAGATGGCTGCGAAACTGCATATATATCAAAAGAATCATTTCACATTAAGTCCTGTAGTTTATACACTCCAATGGCTAAGCACTTCACTTGTTCGTTCTAACCACCACATCTCTATTGATGACAATGTGTAACCAAATTCTCTGCTTTTTATTGTAGAATGGGAGACAACCGGAAGTGCAAGAATTTCACAATGGCAACATGAAAGATTTTATCATAGGAGTGAACTGAAACAATCCTGCCGCCTATTGAAACGGAACTTGCACTTGATGTAAGCGTTAGATGGGCCATGTGTTATGCATGCCAAGCTACCACCCGTCGATAACAGCGCTGCTTTCCGTGCCCAGTTTGGAGTGGCCAAAACCTAGAAATGGGCGGGATTTGACAGGGAGAGGAAATGGAAGAGATTACGAGACTTTTGAGTGAGTGCTGTTAATGCTATTTGCCTCAGAGGAGAGGGTCCACATCATCCTCTCCTTGCCTGGCTGTAGACAATGAACAATGTGGCGGCTAAACGGAGTGGGTGGCGTTATTATTGTTATTTACATCCAGGTTGTCTGACTGAGTCCTGGAGGTGTAGGCACCTCAGGTGTCTGTATTAGGCTAACCCTAGGTTCACATCCCTCTCCATTTCTTTCTTTCTTCGTTTATGAGGCATCGGTGTGTTCATCCGGTGTTGCTATCAGTGATGACAGTAATAATTATGACAATGTGTAACCAACTTCTTTGTTTTTATTATAGATCCGGCGACAACCGGAGGTGCAAGAGCTTCGACAATGGCAACACGAGTGGCGAGTTTACAACAGGGGTGAACTGAAGTCATCCTGACGCTTACTAAATGATAATAATAATAATAATAATAATAATAGTAATAATAATGCTTCGGCTGCAAGACTCTTTTGGCGCCTAGCTACCTTGCAACCTCTTCATCTCGCCTGCCCCTGTCTAGGCTTGGGTATTCTGGCAATATCTCCACCCTCGTGTCCCCTTCGGGGACCCCCTGATGCTTACTAGAACGGAGCTTACATGATGTAATAGATAATCATTATCCTTAATTAGGTTTCATCGACGTCTTGACTGCAATTTATCTTCTGGTATCCAACGTCAAATGAATATCACTTATTTAGGGCACAATCTGAATAGAACATTTGTGCGATAATCTTACAGTGTGAGTGCGAGGAAATGTAAGCCGTCCATTTGCAGGGTAGACGAGTGCCCCAAACAAAAGACTCTTTTACCCAATATGGCTGCTAGTCACATAAAATGATTGACTTTCCCAGTGCTCATGTGCCTTTTTATCAATGCTTCAGTAGCACATCCATGTGATGAATCACCATAAAGACTGACGTACAGTATGTTCCGGCAACTTTGTTCTCATGTGGCTTGTATGGATAATTCATCCAGGTGTAGTAGCCCTCCCTACAAAAAGCCAGATTTGCAAACGTCAAAATTGTCTGTCTTAATGAGAAAAGAGCAGAGTTCTTCGCGACATTTGTCTTGCTTCATTTTCTGTGGCTTGACAATCTCGACAATTAGGCGACCTGATCTGCCAGTTAGGCTAATTTACGGTCATTTTACGAGCTTATCATACGATCAAACCAATCCCTCTCAGCGAGCTCACTACGGATTCGACTTGGGAAGAGTACAGGGTCAAAATGGATATTGTCAATAGTAATAGGTATCGACCGTTACCGAGGTTCAAACCATCACATTGTGGCACATTGTGGTGGTACCAAGCCACTAAATCGAAGTTGTATGCGGTCGTCCCACCACATTTACCCTGTAGATTTACTAATCTGTACGGTTCTGACCAAAGCTGAAGCAATTGTAGTCAATAGACTACAATTGCCTGTACCTAGTTCATCCTGTCACTATTCACCGTAGTTCTTTATGCTTCGTTTCCTTACTACAACCCAACACGTCTGGAACTTCGGAATAACTGAGAAAACACACACAATCCGATGTTCCAGTGAGTCGCAGGTCTCAAGCCAATTCCAACACTCACTTGATAAATGGCACCTGATGGACGGTGAATTAAGGTGAGGTTGAATAATACTTATACATGCAGGGGAACAAGCAATCTATGGGTAGAATTAAACAGCCGTTTGTCTGTAGTGAACGCTTTTGCCCGATCCGGCTAATTCGTGTTGTGGCTCTTCAAATAATCGGTTCTCAGTCTTTTAATGGAACAAGCTAGTGCTGTGTAGCTGGAAGATGCATTTTACAAACAAAGGGTAGTTTGCACTACCATACAGTATCCACTTCAAGAAGGATCAACCGTAAATAAATAGTTCTAGCACTGGCCACTGTTTAGCGATTTTACTGCTACACTCTACTACTTCAATCTATTTCCCTACAATATAATCCAACAACATGTAATGAAACATGGTACAAAGAAAATCGGTACTCCCATCCCTGCCCCACAGTATATCAGGAGCAATTCAGCATCGTCCGATGTAGTAACATTATCGTTAGAACACTAGTGCCTAAATGTCTAACGGATAACATCAATTTTTTAATGAATCCGCGCATAGAATAGTCTCCAAATCCAGATGGATCCAGAGCACATCAGGCACAAGTGTTTTCGACCGACATGCTGCTATGAATGATAAATATGTAGTGACTAAGGCCTTCATGAAACAAGCCGGCAGCACTTCAAATCAGGTCGGATTAAGATTCACACACTACCGATACTTGGCTGTATGACCCACACTCCCCCCGTTTTTGGTGATCGAAACTGTAACAGCTGCAACCAATGTACCTATCGTACCAATTGGTCGGTTGATTGACCGTTACCTGAATGATCTTTATATTCGATTTGACAGCCCAAATATTACCCCATCGCAAGCCATCAATGTGCTGTGTAAAAAGAGAACGACCTCTAATCATTTTGCTTTTTTGAAAAACGTGCAATTTACCAAGATACTTGCTAACAAAAATCTACTTAACAGTAGGAGAATTCAGAAATACCAAGGTAAGTTGGCGAGGTCCTCCCCATGTGTTATTCATAGACCAACATTAATGGACACCGGTTGACATTGACCTCGGTTGGTCATGTTAAGGCGCATTTGGCTCACATATTACCAGCCTGAACAATCATACAGCGTTAGACAAGGGATATCCGAGGAACCTAGGATTTAAAGTAAACTATTCTGTTGAAGCATGCAGCTTTCTTCGTTTGAAAGTCATCTTTGAGGAAAATGACGAAGTGATTTTTCTGGTATGCACTTTGGCCTTTGTTAGCTAGCACGTACATCGCATCTCATGAGTGGCTCCATAGGCCACTGGGACGGGTGTCATATTTGAAGAACAAACTTTATCCCCCATAAGTAGCTCTATCAGTGCATGACCACAAACTCGAGGTCACCAGGATGTCTATTCAAGACTAAGGGAGACAACCTATCAAAACCAGTTCCAGAGTCAAACGACAGCAGCTAATAAACGACGCAGTTTATATTGTAAAGTCCGAACACTGGTTATCCTTAAAATAGACTCTTTGTTAAGAGCTGGATGCTCAAAGTGAAAAAATCCGATGTGAACTGGTGTCGTAATTAGGAAAATGCTAGTCGGGTATTAATAGCATCAGCAGTCGCATACTAGTTCGCTTGAACGTTGATGTGACTAAATTTAGCAGATGTGCATCAGGATACCCGTCTAACATAAACCTTAGTCTCTTAATATAGTGCTCTATAAACCATCGAATTTGTGGAGACAGTGCGGAATCCGCTTGTCACATCTGCATCCCCCCTGGTTTTACCAGGAGATTGATTCCCATCAACTGATGACAGAGCGGCAGTCTAATATCTACGCCTACAAGGAAAAAGCGTCCCAGCTTACTAGGTCAAACATCTGATTTGGTTACGGTTTTCTCATTTAGTCACACACCCTGTGCGACTGTGGTAAAGTGGGATTTTAGTTTTCATAAAGGAAACTATTCACAAGGTTGCTAAAAACTCTTGGAACTTGTGAGTAGTTTCCTTTATGAAAAAATACTATGATTTCTCGAATATCGTGCCAAATGAAACATGTGGATGCCTTTGTAAATTACATCCTGTTGAAGAATGATTACAGACTGGGACAGGCACATATTCAGGAAGGTAGGTCTGACACACGAGCGCGATTGCTCGTATATCATCGGCACCGCATAATCTGGCAGAGAATTGCAATAGATTTCGAGGTTATCGGGTACCGATGGTAAAGAACTACTCAACCTTACCAGCACAACTCTCTGTGAACTCTCATCATGGTGAACTTCACCCAAAGCGCGAATAACTGCTAGAATGGCTTCTTGAAGGACGTGGTTTGTGGTGAAAATTCAATCGCATTCATACACCGTCTGGATAGACTATTGGGCTCCATATTCCTAATATGACCATAAACGAGAGATTCATCTTGTGGGGGAGCCACAAACGATTGAGTGATACGCGATATCCTCAGTTTTTTTGGACAAAATCCTATCTGTACGGATGAACGGGGTTGTCGAATACCGTTATATACATATATATATATATATATATATATATAAAATATCGGTAGTTCGCATGTGAACCCATTTGAGATAACGTAGTGTTAAGCAGCGCCCGGGGCAATCACGCAGGCTTGAGTTTGGATCACCACGTTTCGACAAGCTATGTATGTCTTCAGTCCGTCCTATCGCATTGGCTAGATAATATTTCAGTATATCGTCAACCTGCTATCAGTAAAATCGCTGAAAATACTTCATGAGTTCCTTATGTCTACCGAAACTAGCTAAAACACACGACCATATTGGACGTCTTGTCACAGGGTGTTAACAATGCGAATATACATAGCAGACGTATCGCAATTTACGCTTTTGCAAGCTGACAGACAAATAATTCCAAGATTCTGTACGGGTACAATTGATGGCGAAGAAAAGATATTTATTGGTTCCATGTAGTTCCGAGAGACACTTGATCAGTAGGTAATAATTCGCTGTCCCACAATATACTCAGCTATATCCTTATCACACATTCAAATGACTAGTGGATTGCATATTCATTCTGTTTTCACACGACTGGATGAATTCCACGCAGTGAGCTGAGCCGAATGAATGAACAATACTGCTACATATGATTAGCTCATGTGAATACTTTGAGATTGGATGAAAACGGACACATCAGAATCTCAATGGTATTATAGATAACAGTGATTGTCGGGATTTCTAAGAAACTGGTAATAGTCCTCCCCGAAATTGGCATGACGAACCAAAGTTAGAGCTGCCGTTCAAAAATACCACTTGATATTACGCGAAACTCTTGGATCTTACTGGACTAAATTCAAGTAAGCAGTCTTCACTGCGCTTTTCGGCTGGCTGGGTCGATAAAGATCAATGCGTCTCGACGTGGTACTGTCAGCATGTGCTACAACAGGTGGCAGCTCTGACGCTGCGAAAAATGGCCTCTGTGGAAATGGTCACGGTTTCTTCGGTCAGCAAGAAGAACAGATTTCGTGGTTCTCGCAGGTCAGCCGACTAAATTTTTAGGAAGCTCATCATGGTGGCCGATCCGGGATTACCGCTCATCCCAGTCTTGTATCGGATGGAGACAAACTAGGGGTGTTCAGTCAATGACTTGAGAATGAAACATGCAAGAATTTACCAGTAAACACAGTCAGGTTTGTAAATTTCATCGCTCCGAGTAGAGACCGCGGGACGAGAAGACAAATCTTTACTAACACTGAGAGAGACGATTGTCATGATGCCAATGACAATCCTGCATCAAACCTATCGCTTTAATTTCGTAGCTCCCATCTCCTGCTATTGTGGAAAAAAGGATACATTTTTCGTCATTGTTTATGTTAGACCATCGCCCCAACCACGTGACTCTCATCCTCTTATTCTCCCTATCCTCACTGGACAAGCTGGAACCACTTCATTCCGATGTCCTGATTTATGAGCTGACAAAATAAATGAGACCGAACTTCGTGTATGAAATAAGTGTTCCGATGACGTTGCGTTTGGGCAGGTAGTCTGAAGTCAGTTCATTCAATCTGATGCGATTTGAGGCAGAGCGTGAATTTCGGAAACTTAATCTTACACTGCATTAGTGTTGAAAAACTCTCCCAGAAGTAGACCCTCCATTTTCAAAACAGTTTGATTGTACCGGAGTTTGGCTCTCACAGTAGAGGTTACGTCTCACATGTGGGAAGAAATCAGCTTTGCAGGCGCCCTTTGCTGATTAGAATATACATCGTGCATACCTAACGACAAACGGCTCCTCCAGTTTTGTTGCACATATTATTCCGTCTTCTGAGCATGGGCAAAAATTGCCTTTTGGTTTGAAAGATTTAGTAGGCTCTGCACGTGTCTCGACGGAGTACCTTGAATTCGGAAGTGAATGCCTTCTCACTCCAACCCTAGAACTGTTGCTGCATTGTATCAGAGCAGGCATTATTATCTGATTCCGTGGCAGAGAAAATGTCTGTGCGATAGCTCAGATTGATAGCCCAGATTGTCCTATCATTCGTTGACAATCTTCTGTGACATTTATAGTTCTGTTCCAGTTCTTGGGCTCTATATGCAGTCTTTGTTGAAGCGTGCGCGGGCAAACACCAAATGAACACATTCCAAATGCTACATCTATTTGGCAGTACCCTGCTGATATTCATTGTGACGATGAAACGACTTTGGGATGACCTAAGTTCCCAGGGTCCCGTAGAATAATAGACACAAACTGTGCAGTTTTCTGACGAGTGATAAGGATTGTTGTTAAAATTGCACTCAGTCGCATGACAAGATCATCCATTCTATTTTCTCTCTATCGCTCTTACTAGCTTGGGCTCCCACACGGGTGATCACAGCTCCAAACTCCGACTAAAATAACGTAAATGTACAAATATGTGTTGAGCTGTTGGTGCTTTACTGACGAATCAGAAAATGCTCATCAGCAAAATTCCCGAGATTGTGCCGCCGTTCATTGATACGAAAAGACCAGAAAGTGTTGATCGTTAGGAGATATCCGGTGATGGAACCTTATACGGCATTAAAAGAGCGAGTGCGTCAGCTGATTGGATACTCCGAATCGCATCTATGTTAAGCCGACTAAACGCTAACTTATAATTCAATCATTACCTTTATAACCACGGAAATCAAACATTGACCTGAGCGGCCTCGTGTGGGCTTTCAGGGATCCCCAAAATAATAAATCTATATGGGAAATCTTTTGATCACATACCATAATCGGAGAATATACAAAACGCGGTTTCCCAAGCAAAATTTGTTTTCCGCGTTGTTTTCCGGATCCCGTCGTAAATTACCAGCTTCGTGCCCGCTACATGAATTGCCGTTTGATCAATTCGACCACAGTGGGGAAGTCTGGCCGTGCGATCCACTTGACGGGTAATTGGTTTCCCAAGTTTGGACAATTCCACGCCTGTTGTCTTTTGTATCGCGGCGATGTGGTTCCGAAAGACGTGAACGCGGCGATCACGAAGATCAAGACGCAGAAGACAGTGCAATCCGTGGACTGGTGTCCTACGGGCTTTAAGGTTGGTTTGAATTATCAGCCACCGACCGTTGTTCCAGGTGGTGACCTAGCGAAAGTGCAACAAGCATTGTGCATGTTGAGCAACACGACGGTGGTTGCGGAGGCTTGAGCTCGTTTAGATCATAAATTTGATCTTATGTACGCGAAACGCGCGTTCGTTCATTGGTATGTTGATGAGGGAATGGAAGAAGGTGAATTTTCGGAGGCACGTGAAGATATGGCCGCGTTGGAGAAGGACTATGAGGAGGTTGGGATTGACAGTATTGGTGATGAGAATGACGATAGTGACTATTAGTTTTTTTCTATAGAGGAGATATATTTGGATATTCGTTACTCTTGAATTCGTTCTGACAATGCGCTTGGCGAGTTTTTAGGTGGTTTGTCAAGGTTCCGTTTACGTTAGTATTTTTGACAGCTCAAGCTGCGGTCAGTCGCTTGTATGATATTTGCTGCTAGGCAGGCGGGCATGGGGGCTGCCTAATGCGATGTTGTTGGTCAGAAAACGACATTGAGTAGCCTGAGGTTTGTCTGTGATGCGGGTGCAAGAGATACTTGTGCAGATGCTTGTTATTCCCGACGGGCGTTTTAATGCGTAGGTATTCGAACTGGGAACACCCGGTACACCCAACACCTCTATGTTGGCCCGAAGTTTGTAGCATATGGTGTGGGTAAAACAAAATACTCAGGATTGAAAGGAAATTGTCGAAGGTCGACGAGATTAATGACGGAAGCAGCTGGGTCTCCTGGCAACCGATTCCCCGTGACGCGTTGACGCTAATTGCGCAAAGTCAACGGATCAGGACTTTAACACATCCATGATTTTTTGCATTGCGAAAGTAAGCCATGTTGGGCGCGACCAAATGCCTTTGATAAGTTGAGGTAGGCAGTATATTCTCTGACGTTCGTATCTCGATGTCGATGATTAAACTCAGGCTTGTTAGTTAAGATCTGTGCTCACGAAATCCACGTTGAACATGTGACAGAATTCCATATGGTTCACGCAAGTATAACGGATCGCAGGCCACATAAGACGACAATTTTTGACGAATATCACTATTACCACAACATTTCGATTCCTCATTTCTGTGACCTATTAGGAGTTCATGAAAGGCTCCGTAGGATTTTAATCATAAATAGAACCTTAATTTGGTTTATATGCACTGCAAAAGCGTTTTAGGTGTTCTTTCCAATCGCTCTCCGTCTTTGCATAAGGTGTAAGGCTTTTTTAAATATAGTGCCCGGCGACTTACACGGTCTCTACGTGCATTTGATGGGAGTGTTGTTGAAACAAATCAGTGATACCTAAAGCGCCATTCAGCGACTATGTATAACTATAGAGTCGAAAATGAGGTATTTATCGTGCAGGTCCAATTTGTGTGTGGCGAACTAACGATAAATTGTCTCCGATGTTGTGGTTATAGCATCTCGGTCATGTGCTACGCATATCGAAACACCGTCTACCAAGACGAGTGTTGTTCTCCGTGCCTCCTTCAGCATGGCGCAAACCACGAGGTGGACAGCACATGGCTTGGCAGAAAGGCGTCAAAGAGATCACGAAGAGTTTGGGTGTTGTGCGACTTCCAGGATG